TCCTGGGTTCAGGCAATTCTCCTGCCTCAGCCTCCTGAGTAGCTGGGATTACAGGCACGTGCCACCATGCCCAGCTAATTTTTTGTATTTTTAATAGAGACGGGGTTTCACCATGTTGACCGGGATGGTCTCGATCTCTTGACCTCGTGATCCACCCGCCTCGGCCTCCCAAAGTGCTGGGATTACAGGCTTGAGCCACCGCGCCCGGCCAGAGTTAGGACTTTCACAGGGAATTTTAAAGGGACACAGCTCCGTCTACAGCAGTAGGATCCCATTGTGTGGATGTATCACGGTGTGTGTTTATCCATTCACCAGTTGATGAGTATTCAGATTATTATGTTTTTAAAAACAGCTTTATTATTTATTATTTTTTGTGACAGAGTCTCACCCTCTTGCCCAGGGTGGAGTACAGTGGCACAGTCTTGGCTCACTGCAGCCTTTGCCTTACTGGTTCAAGCTATGCTTGTGCCTCAGCCACTCCTAGCTGGGATGACATGCATGCACACGCCTGGCTAATTTTTGTATTTTTTTGTAGAGGTGGGGTTTGACCGTGTTGCCCAGGCTGGCCTCAAGTGATCTGCCTGTCCCAGCGTCCCAAAGTGCTGGGATTACAGGCTTGAGCCAGGCCTAAAAACAGCTTTATTGAGATATAGTTTATGTATCATAAAATTCCCCCTTTAAGTATACAATTCAGTGACTTTTAGTTTAGCCACAGATATGTACCATTACCACCGTCCAATTTTAGAACAATGTCATCACCACAAAAAGAGACCCTGTTCCATCGGTAGTCTTCCTTGACTACATGCTCCTGGCAACCGCTAATGTACTGTCTTCATGGATTTGCCTTTTTCATTTTTGGCCATTATTAATAAAGCGGCTGTACACATGTACATGCAGAGTTTTATATGGACATGCTTGGTTCATTGACTTTTGCTGCTGTTAGAAGTTGTGTGTTGTGGCAGCTAGGTGTGAGAGAGATTGGAACTTAAACGGCATTGTCAATAAAACTGATGAAGCTTTGGGTGCTTTTTGAGGAGCATGTATGGTGGATTTTTGTTTCATTTTTCATGCATAGTTGTGTTCTTATTTAAATCATAAGAACTTGAAGGAAAAAATACCTTACCTCCTTACAGTGTTTTTAAAAAAATTCTTATGTGGTCAGTTATGATTGTTCCATAGTATGGAATAAATTGAGTACTGATCTGTATTAATGGAATTGGATTATAATGTACACTTTTTGTAAGGCTTTTATTTCAGAAAAATAAAAGTGAAAATATACATGCTGAATTGTTTAGGATAAAAACTACTTTTAAAAGCATTTGTAACCACCCCCCCTTTAATGTATGTAACTAGATAATGATACCTTACATGAAGAAAATGGAACATTTGGTGTAAAAAGTCTAAATTAGGTACCCCTTGGTATTTTAATCAGCTTGCGGTATCTTAGAGCGGCCTTCTGCTGACACCTCAAAAGAAAAAGATTGTGATTAGTGCTATTCTGAGTTGGCAATAAGTTGACTCCAGTGTTGCTCACAATTTATGTTAGTGGGATGACTAAGTAAACAAGTAATTACTTTTAAAAAATCTTACAAGTTTGGTGTGGTGGCTCACACCTATAATACCAGCAGTCTGGGAGGCCACGGTGGGATGATTGCTTGAGCTCAGGAGTTGGACGCCAGCCTGGGCAACATAGAGACCCCATTTCTACAAAAAATGAAAATTAGTCAGGCATAGTGGTGTGCACCCTTAGTTCCAGCTACTTGGGAGACTGAGGTGGGAGGATGGCATGAGCCCAGGAAGTCGAGGCTGCAGCGAGCTGTGATCACACCACCACACTTCAGCCTGAACAACAGAGCAAGACCTCATCTCTTAAAAAAAAAAAAAAAACAATCTTGCAGTACTTTTGTCTTCTTGTTCAACAGTGAAAGTAATACATGTTCACTGTTGAAAGTTGGGAAAATACAGAGAGGTACAAAGAAGGCATCCACAGTCTCACCATATAAAAGAAACTGCCGTGTGGCTGCACATCCTTCCCTTATGGCATTGTATACATGTCACACATACAATTAAAACTTTTTAGATATTGTGTAAGAAGGCCTGCTACTTTTTGAGGGTCGTTTGAGTCAAACTTAGTCTACTGAATTTTTGTTTGTTTGTTTGTTTTGGGTTTTTTTTTTTTTTTTTTTTTT